CGGGCTATGGACCCGCTGATCGCCTATATGTGAAACACCCGGTACCGGGTGTTCGCATTGGACGGGTCTTTTCTGCCCGTGCGTGCCCGCTAGGGGGCGCGCGCGAGCAGAAAAAAATTGCCGTCTGGAGACGGCAACCCGCAGATGCTGCAGTGCCGTCCGTCCGTTTTTTTACTACGGGCGGACGGCAAGAGGTTAAGAGACCAGGACTTCGATTTGATGACCCCTTGTTTTTATCTACTCTGCATGTGTGAGCACATGCAGTCCATTTTTCTTGTTTCCTCAGAGCTGTGTAGTGTGTTTCTATCAGTGGTGAAGGTGGACGGAGTGATTTCCAGTGGCTTCCTTTGTTTATTATTTACCCTCAATTTCATGTCGCTTATTAGGGAGAGCAGAGATATCCTGTTTTTTACTATTACACAACCGTTCTTCAATTATTCTGCTGTATGCAGCAAGTGGTTGCGGTACCTCAGTATTATTGTGTCTGCATCTGTCTGAGGCAGATTTGTCAGAACAGACTGTCATTAGCTGGGCACTGTGTAAAAGCAATTTTTTCCCTTTCCTGTCATACTACTGGGTTTATTCCTAAACTTGTGACATTTGTGATTTACATTGGTGCCACTGATGTTTCTGGTTCTTCCAGTCACAAGCGGCCTGTACATTACAAGGCCCCTGAGGTGTTGCTATGGTGACATGTGCTTGTTATACTTTATGTACTTCACAAGTTGGCCACAGGGGGGAGCTCTCCACTTTATTTCTGTTCCGGTCTTACTGGGAAAGAACTGTTATGTTTTTTTTCCCTGGCTAATAATGATGTAGTTTTCACTCAGTAAGAAGGGGCAGCCCTCGTGAAAGTTATACGGAGGCCAGACATTGGTGATACTTATCTAGGTTTCTGGGGTGATTATAGTGGTGCACATTCCAGGAGTAGAAAACTGGCAGGTGCACTTTCTTAGCAGACAACATCTGGATCCAGGCAAATGGTCTCTCGATCCAGAGGTATTTCTACAATGTAGTCACCGCTGGGGAATGCCGAATGTGGATTTTCTGGCTTCTTGTCACAACAAGAAGGTGGACTGATTTGTGTCCAGAGCGAGGGATCCAGCAGTAGATGCCTTAGTAACTTAGCAATGTGGGATCAGTATACACTAGTGTGTGTTTTTCCTATACTGACTCGTCAATTGCCTCGTCTGCTATGCAGGATAGAACACAAAGGAATTCCAGTCATTCTGGTTGCTCCAGATTGGCCTCGCAGGGTGTGGTATGCTGGTTTGGTTCATCTGTTGGCATCATCCAGATCGGTTATCTCAGGGCCCAATTAGCCACCCTGCTTCTTGGTCGCACGGCTGTCACTTCTGCTATTCTGACTGTGCTTAAGGCTTGTAGATCTTCTACCTACAAGATTTATCATTGTACGTGGAAGGTTTATTTTCGTTGGTATGAGTCCTTGGGGTTCTCCCCACATGCTTTTTCTATATTGCAAATTTCGTCTTTCCTTTAACTCAGGGTAAAGGTTAAAGGATGAATGTAGGTCTTGAAAGGCCAAGAGAGTCCTATTGTCTTTGTTGATGATGTCTTGTCTTGTAACTGGGGATTTATCCAGCCAGTGACTTGTCATATGGTAGTTGAAGCTGGTGGGTAAAATGTAATGACATCATGGAAGCAGGTTCTCAACATTATGACCATCAGCAGACAGTGTAGCCCGTCGCCCGTTTTGTTTCACTGCCTTGAAAGAGAAATTGGTTCTTAGAAAAGATTTGTCATGACCTCTAACCTCACATCTCTAACATACAGCCAAAATCCCATTCTGCTAGATCAGGGTGAACTTTATTTCTCTTAAAGACTAGTTTAGGAGGTGAACAGATGGATTCAAAGATGCTGAAGAAATGATTGCTCATCTCATAGACTGCTTTAGAAAATATTGCTCAATGTGGGCAGACTGGACTGACTATAAGATTAGCTCTGAATTTGGAGAGATCCATGAGTTAAAGTGCACCTGTGCCCAGATTATAGACATTAAAGGATTTACACATTCTTTCCAACCAGGAAAATAAATGTTTCCCCTTATTTTTTTCAACGCTTTAAATATTTTATTTTGTTTACTTTGTCATATACATCGCAATGCATTTGGTGTATTTTCTTGATGACCGCCCGAGAGAGCAACTATTTGCTACTTATGCACTTGTTTTTCTCTTCTTGTGATCACCGTCAAAGCTTTTAAAATATAAAATAAATAATTTTTTTTTTTTTAAAAGGAAAATAACTTTTTTACAAGCCATACCTGACCTCTCTAGTTGCTTTTAATGTGAAGATCACAACAAAAGACTCTAAAGTTGGGTTTCAGTGTCAGGATCGCTTCAGTTGTAAAGCCGACAGACGGCTCTACAAGTTTAAACAGAGTCCCAGCGGCAAAAGTCGCCGGGAGTCTGTTTAAACAGCCCCGATGCTGGCAACGTTCACTGTACGGCGTCAGTCACGAAGGGGTTAAGCTATTTCATTAAAATTGTTACCTTACTGGGACCCAAGAAGATAATTCTTTCCAAAATGTCAGCAAAGGCAAACTAAGACAAATAACAATGGCCGTATCAAACTTTTGTAAACCTTAGTAAAGCAGAGAGAAATAAATACTTCATTATATTTTCTTTTAACTCGCAGTAGAGCCTTTTGTATGTGTCAGTCCCACCACCCCCCACCTTGCACACGCGTTAGTTTCCCACACGTGTCTATGCTGTCAAGCTTATTCCTTTAATTGTTTCAAAGGTTTTTAGAGGTGTGTTAGTGCCGTGGGCGGGAATATGCATGTCTTTTTCTTGCCATGGAAACAGACGTTACTTGTGATACTTTAACCTTCATTGTTTACAGACTACTTCTCAGATCACTTTAGTATACGATATGAAATATAGATAAATAAAGGGGTCTTTTCACGAAGCTGCCGAAGGATCTGGCCGTAGCTTCGGCCCATCCTTCGGCTAGCTTCTGCCCCAGGACCCCTATGGTTCAGTAGAACCGAAGGGGTGCTGTACTGGGCTATTCACTATAGCCCGTACAGCTCCCGAACATGGTCGAGCCGAACGCATATGCATTGGCTCGCTGAGCCGTGCTGAAAGCCATTGGCCGGCCGACAGCCTGCTTCTGACAGCTGGGCGGAGCCAGCCGTGATCTTACGGCTGGCTCCGGCCGCTTGCAGAGAGATCAGCGTCCTTGGTTACCTGCTAACCAGGGACACTGATCTCCAAACAGCCAACTCTCACTGGCGCCCCGGGAGTCTCCTGCTCCCGGCCGCCAAGGAGAAACGCTGCTGTGTCTTTTTTTCTTTATTCTGACACGGAGCGATGTCAGAATAGAAAAAAATAATAATAATGATTTTTCCCATTGAAATGCATTGGTACACTACTATTGGCTATTTCAATTTGCAATAGCCAATAGTAAACTAGCATTGTACCCGCTCTCTGCTGCAGTTCTCCATCAGGTCCATCAGCAGAGGGCGGGTACAATGCTAGTTTACTATTGCAAATTGAAATACCCAATAGTAATGTACCAATGCATTTCAATGGGAAAAATCTGTTTTTTTTGAGTCGAACTCCTTCTGCACTTCGGGTCGGCCAAACATACTGAGCATGTTCGGCCGACCCGAAGCCACGCGCAGCAAGCCGATATACGGCTGAAATCAGCCGTACCAGCCTGAAGTGAATAGCCGAACAGTGTTCGGCTCACTTCACTTCAGGTCGGTCATTCACTCGGCTGTCTACGGCAGCTTAGTGAATACACCCCAAAGTTTACTGTACCACTCATTCTGTGCTTACCAAACTAGGCTCTGTTTGCTAAATGGTCATTTGGCCACCCAGCACGTCCTCAACCAAATTTGGGTCCCATTCCACACCTTAACATGGGCATTTATTCTGGATCAGTCAGTCAGTTTTTTAGACTGATCCAGACTGATGCCCAGGATATGTCTGAGGGTGAGTGTATGTAAATAGACATGCATCTGTTTACATTTGCTTACACCCGAAGCCGTCTAGGTCTGAGAAAGAAAATGGAAAAGGTTTTGGTTCTGTGGGACACCTCCTGTCAGTGATATAGCACTAGGGTGGAGAACGAGAGTCTGTGACAGGGGGTGTTCTGGGCTGTAACCCCAAACTGGCAAATCCTTACTAATAAGTAGCAGCAAAAACTTTCTTTCTTCAAAGGCCAGAAAAAAACATGAAAAAAAGATAGTAATGGGACTGATGTTTTTTTATGCAACTGAACTGATGAGGCCCATGTGAAAGGAGCCTAAGACCCCATTCACACAGGTGTAATATAGAAAAACACAGTCCCTATGTTGTGAACTTTAAAAATTGTTTAATCACAATGAATATAGATAGATTAATGAGGACCTTTTTTACATGACAAGTATTGGGATAGTAAAATATTCGTGTGTCATACTCCGGCTCTATAAAGAGAGATGAGCGATCATGTAACCACCGATTGCTCAGCTCACAGCTTCTCCCTGCAGAGAGCAGTCACTGTCAGTCACCATTACCTGCAGGGATTCCCCCCTCCTCTCTCTGTTCCTCAAGCACACACTGGAGGAACCGACAGGGGAGGGGGCGGGCCCTGGCTCTAATAAGTAAGAGCCAGCTGTCACTCATGCAGTGTATCCCAACAATATTGTCGGGATCCTGCTTGGCTGCAGCGCGGCTCTTCTCTGTCAGCAGATAGCGGACAGTACAAATTTCTATCTAAAAAAATAATGCCTCTCCATCACTTTACCCAGTTTAAGTTTCTCTCTAGTACCTAATAAACTTATTTTTCTTTTTTATACTTGCACATTCAATTTTCTGTTTGTGACATTACCTATAGTGAGTGCCTTGTAGTGGTACCCTGTTTCCCCGAAAATAAGACCTACCCTGAAAATAAGACCTAGCACTATTTTTCAAGATTCCTGTAATATAAGACCTACCCCGAAAATAAGACCTAGTTGGGTGGTGGCATGTGAGGGGGAACTTGAAGAGCAGGAGACATGGTATCAGCCTGCAGGGACACACTGTATTAAGGGGATGACAGGGGACTCCCTCCGGCCAGCGCAGTGACAGGGAGCACTCCAGTACCATACTTCACCAACTGCTGTCCCCCTGAAGGCACTGTTTAATGTAATGGTAATGTACTGTGTACCGGTAAATGGTACCGTACTTTACCGCGCTGTCCACTGTCTGATGTCCCCTCTGCTGCACCGCTGGTACCACTGTCCCTGATGGCAAAGGAAGCCGGTGCTGTAGAAAGCAAGGCTGCGGCGGCGAAGGGAGCAGAGTAGCATTAGCCGATACTTCCTCTATAGTGCCGGTTACTAACTTTGAACATAACTTTGGATTGTTGTACATTTTGTTGCACATTAAAAACAAATAAGACATCCCCTGAAAATAAGACCTAGTGTCTTATTTTTGGGGAAACACGGTACCTCTATTTTTCTACTCATACTTTTTAGATTTCTTAGTGTTGATATATTTATTTGCCCTTTTCTTTTCTCCTTCCTACATGGCTACCCACCACTATACTTTGCTCCAGTGTTTATATACTGGGAGTGGGAATAAAAACACTGGTGCTCAGTACCCGGGTTTCTCAATAGATAGGGGCAGCGGAGCCTGGGATACAGTACATGGCAGGCAAGGGGGCACTTTGGGGAGGGGGGGTTTGCAGACCCCACCAAATCACTTCTTCCAGAAAGCCAACAGTCAGCTTGTTAGATGCATATACAATCCCATTTGTGTGCCTGTGTTTAAAGACTTCTGCTGCTGAAGTCAGCCGTATGGCAGCCAATAATAGGATAAAATATCAAAACCAGCCTTTGTTGCAATAGTCAGGCTTTAATTCTGCATCCTTCAAAACTAATTTCTCTGAGCCCATTTTGTCCTGGACCTGTCCCAGCCTGTGACTGGACAATGACAGGAGAAGTAGTACAGTGATGAACTCCTCTTTCTATCTCTGCTTTCTCCTATCAGCATGTTTCTTGTGAGCACATGAACTAATTGGCTCCATGTAGGGCTTTTTTCCTTTCACACACCAGCTGTGCTGTACATGGTCTGCAAGAGTCTGTTACCTGATCAAATTCAGGTACTTACACTGCTTGCATTTATTATATTATTAATTAATATTATATATTATTGAATACAGAGCATTCATTTGTGTTTTTATATCTGCCTGGAGTCCAGCTGTAAGTTTGTATGAACATGTTGAAAAATCTGCTGCTGTATAGTTTTGCTGACCTTTTTTTCTTTAGGTACAACAATAAAACTTATAGGGTTGATGACATTGATTGGAACACCAAGCCAACAGACACATTTCCAAGGAAGGACGGCAGCGAGATTACGTATGTGGACTATTATAAACAGGTACAAACTATGTTTTAGTTCTTAAAGTATTATTAAACGCTGATACTTTTTTCTTCTACTTTTTGAATCCAGATCAAATAAATATACATTGGTCACCAGAAGGAAAAAACAATTACCATGGTGCTAATGTATTCTAATTATAAAGTCTGAAATTGCTACCTTGCAGCTGTCTGCATAGGGAGTTACATTAAAAGGGGAATCTGTGCTATGTGCATACTCCCTTATATGTGTATCTAAAGGGATGTTGGGGATGCTTTTTTCCATGTACCAGCAGAAAACATTGTAATCTGTCCTTTCTCCCAAAACCTTCAACATATTTTCTTTTGTCGATACTTCCAGACACTACACTAAGCGTGTGCTGTGCAGGTAGGCGGGCACTAAATAAGCAGGATATGTGGAACAATGTTAAAGGTTTAATTTTTTTATAACAAAAGTTCACACATTATTACTATTATATCCGGTCAGCTTAGAAATTAGTATACGATTGAAATGTTAATTCCTAGTTAATGTAGATGGGTATACATTCATTCATTTATAGGGAGCTTCTTAGTCCTGTGAAGTTTTTGCTCCCTTTAGTACAGCACAAGCAGAACTGATCTGATGCTCTTGACTGAAATCGGTGAATCCTGCAGGCAGAACTCCTGCTGTGGGCTTTGTTGAACTCAAGGCAATGCAGCTTAATCGTACTTTTTCATCCACTTGCAACCACCTGAGATTGAAAGGACCCGTATACCCAGTAGGAGCCATTGCCTGAGGTGAACTCTAGAAACTGTGTCTGTTCGCCTCAGTTTGACTTATTCCAAATGGAGCTTCACGCTGACTGTGCTGGACCCCTGTGTACACATCCAGACCATTCAATATTCCACCAGTGCTAGAATATATATGTGATCTGTACCTTATAGAAGAATGCGCAGGTGCAGCTGTATAAAGTAGGAGATACAGTCTCTCTTTACTGTTACTACATACTGTACATTTCCTCTTTGGTTGGAGGCTTTTTGTTCAGTGAAGATGTGAAAATGAAAGAGAGAAGCTGATTTCTTCCCTTAACCAGTTGCCGTCCGCCCGTTGCAAAAATAACGGACGGACGGCAGTCGCATTGGCGGGTTGCCGTCTCCAGACCGCATTTTTTCTCTGCTCGCGCGTGCCCCCTATCCAATGTAAAGAGCCATTACCGGCTGTTTCACATATACCCGATCGGGACCCCTCACCTTCAATTCCGGTATCTGCTGCCCCATCATTGTTATCCCCCTATATAATATCAATAACAATAAGTGTAAAAAAATATAAATAAAAAAAAGTTTTAAAACAATGTCACATATAAAAAAAAGTTTTAAGAAACCCCCAAAAATTCTTACGATCCCCACCCCCACGTTTACGCGCATATAAAGGTAAATACGCGTCCGATGCACCAGCGCAAAAACGACAATTGCGCTACACACATTACATATCGCCGCAAACGTTGCAGTTAGAGCAATCATTGTAGGGCCATCAATCACTGATAACACTAAACACTAAAAAGCTTTTAAAGCGTCGCCTGTGGCCAATTTTGGGTATTATAGTTTTTTGAGGTTTCGTACGCGCACGCAATTTTCTAAAAAAGGGTATAAAATTAATTTCAGTACAGCGTTGCAAGTACCACAGCGCTGAATACTGAAAAATGGCCTGGATGGGAAGGGTTTAACACCGCGGATGTCAACTGGTTAAGATGTTTACCTTTTATCTTCTTGTTCCATTGGTTATTATTGTGTGCTCCTTGCCTCAGATTTTGTAAATAGGATGTTTTAAAGTACACGTGTCATGGTGGTGGGCTGACATTGCTGGCTTCATTCTAGAAATGTTAGTTTCCTTGCTGTGTCTGGCTTGAATACTTTTGAGTCAGAGATCCAAAACAAGCATATCAAATAAGCGTCAGAAGTATCAGAATTCCTATTTCGTTAGCTCAGGGGTAGCCAAACTCTGGCCCTCCAGCTGTGGGTGAAACTACAAATCCCATGATGCATCTCTCTCCTTGAGTCATGTCTGTGGCTGTGAAAATCTTGCAATGCCTCATGGGATTTGTAGTTCCACCACAGCTGGAGGGTTTGACTACCCCTGCGTTAGCTTATTGTAGGTCAGTGCGCAAGTTAACGCTGAAGCATTACCAGAAGCATAACAGCCAGTGATCTAGCACTCTTAAAAGGAAAAGCCGGCATTGGCACCCTACAAAATCCTATCATGCCAGGTTTACTTTCTTTAAACGGTTCTGCAGGGGGCTGTGGATGGCTCTATGTATACTGCTATGGAGTATGATGATATGAATCAATTAAATAATCTGAATGGATTGGGCTCTTGGTGTTTTTTTTTTTCTTTCCAGCAATATAATCTGGAGCTGACTGATTTATTCCAACCCATGCTGGTCAGCACCTTGAAAGTTAAGAAGAATGATGCAGCTGATGCTCCCCGTGCTGTGCACCTGATTCCAGAACTGTGCTATCTTACTGGTATCGACCATCATTTGTTCAGATGCTTTGCTTCTATTTACTGATTATCATCCTTCGTTGATAATCAGATGCAGACGGGCCATATAGAGGACTACAAAACCCAGCAATAGTACATTATACAGTGCAATTCAGAATACCGCCAGCATTATAGCTGGTGGTATTCTGCATTGTGCTGCATAATGTACTATTGCTGGGATTTGTAGTCCTCTATAGCTGGTGCCATTCTGCATTCATTGCATTTTTTTTTTTTACTTATTTTACTTCCACTGCTCCAAGCTTGCTCCTGTGATGGACTGCAATCTCAATACAAACTAGTAGTCCCATCACTGGAGCCATTTTTTACATTTATTTTATTTTTATCCGATTAACCAATTAATCGAACTTAATAATCGGCTAACTAATCGATTTTGAAAATAATCGTTAGCTGCAGCTCTAAGTAGAATATACTTTTCAGAAGCCACAGTGTAGTGGAAGTCTGAAGTTTGTATTTAAAACTTGCCTTGCCTTCATATAAGTAGAAAATGGTGGATTTAATTCAAGGACCAGTGAAATTTCCCATTCTTGGCAGTCTTATTCTTCATGATGGATTGTTACAAGATGTAATTTTCTTGACAGAACTTCAGTATGTCTTTGCAAGGCAAGCTCCCTAAAATGCTGCTACTGGCACAGGACTAGCGGGCTATGATTCAACTGCCCTCTAATGAATGAAGCATTGTGCATATCTTTAATGCACCAAAGAGGTTGACACACTGTACAGCCAGAAGGTTTGTGTCATTAAATATTTAGCTAACACTCATAAAATAGACACAGCATACATGCCAGCAATGCTGTCTGTCGCCCACTCAACATCCAGACTCATTTGTCAGCTTACTATAAGTGGTTTGTACTTTGAAGATTAACTCATTGGGTACCAACCAGTGTCTATGTTGTTTTCCCTTTCCATGAGTGTACAGTTTTGGGTGGGTGCCACCTAGTACAATCAGCTGCCATCATACCCAGAAAAAAAAAGTTACATTATATGCATATTGTGAAAGAACTACTCACATGCAAAGTAACAAAGATCTACAACATTTAATTGACCTGTCATTAAATTTCAGGTTTGAAATGAATTAGTAAGGCACACACATGCATTGCCAGTGTACATAAAAAAAAATAGGTTTGCTTTAAAGTAGAACTGTGGCTAGACTATGAGCTATGACTATGACTACTAGGGCTTTATGACTCCGTTAGTGCAACTTGGTGCTCCACCTTATCGCAAAGGCTTAAATGCCCTCAGCCACCCTTGTCAAAGCATTCCTTGCATTCCTGTAAGTCAGGTTCCAGTACTCAGACCCACAAATCCACTTCTACCCTCTCAGACTCAGACGGTTCTAAATGTCTCTGGCAGTTCAAGTGATCAAAACCTGCAGATAAATCTACTTCTGCATGAAGGTCCGCCACCACCAGTTCCAGGGATGGGGGGGGGGGAAGCTCTAATTATTTGCTCTGAGATTTGGGAAGCTCACATAGTCGAGTCACGGGTGTGGTAAAGGAGTATCAAAATGTTACAAATGAGAGATTAACCTTCATCCTCCACCTCAAAATTTGGCTTTGTGTCTTTCCGTGTCTCCGCAACATCAGACGGGCCATCTTACAGTCATTCCGAGATCGTTGACCCAGGGAGTTATCATTTTCACTCCTCAAACAAAAAAACTTCAAGCCTGTTTACAGGTTTGGAAGCAAAAGGAGGCATTCGTCCAATCCTGGATTTAAAGGCTCTCATTGGCTTTGTACATCCTCAGATGTTATGAATGAAATTATTTCGGTCGGTTGCTGTCTCCCTTCATCTCGGAGACTTTTTACGTATTTTCACATTCCCATTTTTTAGGTCATTAGCGATTCTTCGCTTTGCCGTGGATGACAACCACTAACAGTTTGTGGCCCTTCCTTTCAGCCTGGCCTTGACCTACACAAAGGCCCTCGCATCAGTTCTGTGTCTCACAGGTATTTCAGTCATTGGATACCTGGACAATCTACTGCTACCAGAGCAGACCTCTTTGACTTTGGAATCAAATGTATCAATCACAATGCAAACCTTGGATGACTTAGAGCCTGAACTTTGAGAAGTCATCTCTGATTATATCACATGGTTTGGGGTACCTGCATCCGCTCTTGATTACCTCTCAGGCCTTACTTCCCCATGTTAAAGAAACTGCAGAATCAGATTTGACAACATTACTCTAGACAAGGTCTCCCCTATGGAGCTGCATACGAGTCCTGAGACCTTGTGGTTGTTCACTATTGAGGAGGAATTGAAGCTTTGGATCAACATCCTAGAGCAATTTGTTTGCCATTACTTTACTGGAACCCTCTTCTGACCAGTTCTCCATTCAGGGTTTACCTGGACAGTGACTTAGCTGTGAGTTTCACCAGGAATGTTGTGACAGAGATAGAGCCTATTCTGCTCTGAGTGCAGTTTCATCTTCTCACAATCTCAGCAGTGCACATTCCCGGAATAGAGAAGTGGAGGACAGATTTGGTCAGCAGACAATGTGTGAACCTGAGGAAATAAAGATAGAAGTCACCAGCACTCACTTGTAATGGGCAAAAAGCAAGAGCACTTTTATTGATGCGTCACATGCTTCATAAAGCCAACGTTTCGGGGCCACATATGGTCCCTTCATCAGGGCGACATTGTGACCTGGGGAGATAGGCTCTTCATCAGGAGGTGTTCTGGGGCACGTCTGCTTTATGGGACTGCAAGTGTGGATCTGCTAGGTTCTCAATTCAACAGGGATCTGGACAGATTTGTTTCCAAAACATGGAACATGACGGCAAATGCAGAGGATGTCTTAGTAACACCATGGGATCAGTGTACCTTGATTCATGCTTTTCCTATGCTGACACTTTTACCTGGTCCTCTTTAAAGGATTGAAGCCAGGGGCATTCCTTTCATTATTAAAGCTCTTATTTGGCCTTGAAGAGTGTGCTGCACCAACCTCGTTCTTTTGTTAGGCAACACACAATGGCCTTTTCCATATAGGCCAGATCTGTTACCTCAAGGACCAATTTTACACCCTGCTTCTTTGCTTCTTATTTTCTAGCTTTGACAGCTTGGCTGTTATATTCCAGGTACTGAAAGAGGCATTTTAAATTTGCTTATGTCGGCACATGTTCACTCCAGGGAGATCTCGCTCCATTGCCTAGATATGGCGAAGGCCATTAAAGTTTGCCTTTCTGCCTATTCCTTTTAGGCAGACTGATTCCCTATTTACCATTTTAGAGTCTTGTAAAAGTGGTTCTCTGGCTTCCAGATCAACTTTTTTTAAGTGGATTAGACAGGTAATTATACAAGCCTATGAGTTGCAACATAAAGTGCCTCCTCGTCCAGTGAAAACTCTCTCCACTAGGGTACTCGCTGTTTATTGGGCTTTCTACCATCAGGCCTCTGTGTCTCAGATCTGTAAGGCTGGTTTTCTGTACATACGTTCTTCAAGGTAAATACTAGGTTGATGTATTTGCCTCCTCCAATGCTAGGTGGTTCGATTGAACTGTTCTGCAAGCACCTATTGATTGCCCTTGGTTTCCCTTTTGTTTGTTTTTTTGGGGTTTTTTTTCCTTCTTTGGATGGTTCACCTATGTTTGGGTATACCCGCTTCTCTGTCTGGATTGTATTTGGACATCCCTAGGTTTCTTACTATCAAGATGTGTCCCTCAATGGGCCATAAAGAAAATAGGGTTTTTATACTCAGCATAAATCTTTTTCTCAGAGGGACACAGCTTTCTCCACTCATGCTATTATTCTGTTTTCAACCACTTGCTACAACTGAGCAGATGCGCTTTGGATTGGGGGTGGGGGGTGGTTAGGGACCCAAATGAGGCTGGCTTACAATTTTCTATGTTCTAGTCATTTCTCCAGTAGGACGCAGTATAGCCTTAGGTTTTCTATTATCAAGCTGTGTGATTGTACCCTATGCAGTCTGCCTGTAGCATTACATGGAATATATGGCAAAAAGCTGTTGTGCCACCAATTTTGTAAAGCCTTCTCTGTCTGGCTGTAAAAAAGAAAAATATATATACAATTGTTAATTTAGGTACATTGGGCGGACCTTCTGACTTTATCAATTTCCTGCAAAGAATGGATTGACTTATTGCCTCCAGTTACCTCTTTAAGCTCTGAAGAAATTGAAATGTGGTGGAAGTCATTGTGAGTTATGGTGGTAATTGTGTCTTGTCTTTGTTTTCTTACAAGGGCTGTCAAGCCGCGCCCTTACGGACTTCCGTCTGATGAAGGACCTGGCCATGGAGACTCAAGTAAACCCGGAACGCAGGCAGCAAAGATTGCAGAGCCTGGTGGACAGCATTGAGGGGTAATCCATTTCACAGGCTGCAGTCTTGTTTCCAATACATGAGTTAAATTACTCTGAATTTGATTGTGTCCAGAGCATGCCAGGAAAGGTTACATTCATGTCACGGTAATGCTTCAATTCAAGAAAGAAGCTGAACTAGTACTATTTACTTTTAGTGGCAGCCTGTGCCCTTAAAAACAATTCAGAAAGCAACCACTCTTTCTTGTGGGTGTTCTGGTTTTGGGATCCTGTTTTAAAACTTTTCACCCCTCTCCCCTCCTGTACATCTCCATCTTTTCTCTGTATGTGACCTGTATATAAACACTTAACCACCCTTATGCTTGACATTTGAGTATTGCACATGTACATTTACCCCTTCACCACCGCCTCCTCTGTGTATGACCTATTCATTTATGATTCGCTGTATCTAGCAAACCATTACCAAGCTTCATGTTTTAACCACCTCAATACCAGCAGGTTTCTTCATTTAAAAAAAAAATTAGATCACCTTGGGGTGTCTATTTTCTAAAAAGTGGTCATTCTGGATGCTGGTGTTGTCTTGGAATTTATACTATATGTTTTATAACAGAAAGTAAGGCATTGTTTTCAAAATTTGTAGTCTTTTTTTTTCTTCATATAGTAAAAAAAAAATATCCGATGGTTATTAAATACCACTAAAATAAAGCTCTGTCTCAAAAAATGATATACAATGAATTTGGGCACATTGTTGTATGATTGAGTAGTTGTCAGTCAAACTATCACATAACTGAACATGGCCTGGTAATAAAGGGGCATATACAGGTTGCCATTGATAGCTCCAAGTAGTGGTCATAAATCAGCGTGGTTCCTTATGTGATAAAAACTGATCATGGTGATTGCAGAGGTATGTGGGTGAACAGACCTCCTGACTGGAACTGTTATTGCAGCTGTCACCATACAGTACATCTATCTTTGTGCACTTACTATGTGCTCAGCATGAAATGCAGTGTTAGAATAAGATGTTACAATAGATAAAAAAGGCAGGCAAACTCAAATAGCTTGCTCTCAGCTAGCTAACTCCAATATTGGTGCTCTTCATGATAACACCAGCCAAATCCACATCCGTTCTACTGGAATCCTTGAGATATCTAAGACCTTTTATATGGTTTGTATATTTCTAAGATTCACTATACTAGTACTGATTTGCATCTCTTCCTGGAGTGTATCTTCTCTTTATACCTTCTTTCCTTACGTGCGGTAGATAGAACTTTGTTAGACTCTCCACTTATGCATCATAAGTTTGACTTGGCGGTAGCTAATTTTCCCAATTGTAAGGCTCACGGGGTGGATGGCCTCCACATTGAAATTTACAAACACCTTGCTATGAGCCATTTTGCAAACCTTAAATGAGGCACCTCTGACTAATTACCCCCTTTCAGGTATGAAGCCTCAATTGTGGTGATACTGAAGAAAGATAAGGATTTGCTTCTTCCTGACTCCTGCTGGCCTATCTGGCTTATTTAAAAATTCTGGATAACGAACTGCCCAACAGGCTGAATTAATGATATCCAGTACAGTCCCCTCCGCCAAATGGGCTTCATGTCCAAACTTTTCCCTGCTAATAATATCAGAAGAGTTTTTCTGAATGTGAAACTCCCGTTGATAATATGGGCAACAGGAGTTGGCACGACTTTTTGCAAGGGGGTTAAATTACTCTCTACCTGCGCCTTGGCCTCTGGGTAAATGGCCTACATTATTCTGCTTTTACATTGCAGTGTAGAATTAGGCAAGGGTGTCCAGTCTCCACCACTGGTTTTCTGCAGTGGCAGTTGAGCCCCTAGCTTGTCTGTTGTAGTAATTTGCAGATGTATTTGGGATTCATAGGGGGCTAGGGGTGCTGCAGTGTCCCAAAAACTTTGGTGGTGGGGCGCATTGGTCCAGTTGTTGGCTCAGGGTTTTGGACAAGGGAGGAAACCAACTTGTCCATCATCAATGTTCTGGAGCTGTGAATGATCTGATTGTGTCTACTGTATTGGACAAATATCCTTGAGGGACGACCAGTTGGAATACACTCAGACAATGCCATGGCTGTGGCATACATCAATCATCACGGGGGCACGAGGAGCATTGCAGTAATGATTGAAGTGAACCACATACTGCACTGGGCGGAAAATTATGTTTCATGGCCTCGTTGGTCCTGGTACACATCACAGACTCTTCCTCTCGCCTTCCCCTACGCCCAGATCTGCTGTCGCAGGATCTGATCGTCCATCCTGCTTTACCGTCGTTGGTGTTAATGGCACAGCTGTTGAGAGCCAGCCGTTAAAGAAGAGGAGTCTTTCTCAGGTGGTTATTTCTACGATGTTGGGAGCACATACTGTATATCCACTTCCCGGATGATCTACTGTCACACCTGGAATTGGCGCTGACTCGAGTATAAGCCGAGGGGGGCACTTTTCACCCAAAAAAATGGGCTGAAAATCTCGGCTTATACTCGAGTATATACGGTACTTTGCTTGATGCGATTCTTGTGGTTTCCATTGTAGAAAGTTTTTGATTAATCCGTATTTTGGCCTTTCTCCAGAAGTGTTTGGTTCTGAGCATGACCAATGGTCAGATTTCCACGCTGGTTCTTTTTCAGCGCCCTTTGGCTAGTCTTTCTCTGGTTTGTACCTTCGTTCAGGGAGTTACTCGCGTGGTCTTCCAGGAGACCTGCCTTGACTCCATCAGCTCTACAAAAGCCTCCGTTTGAGAACATTGAGGAAATCCAATTGTTTACTCTTTTCCAAAAGGTGGCCTTTTTGGTGGCTATTACCTTGTTTGTGGCCTTGTCATGCAAGCCTCCCTTCCTGGTGCCTTTTAGGGACAAGGTTGTTCTTCGCCCTCGTTTATATTTTTTGCCAAAGGTGGTGTCATGTTTTCATGTGAGTGAGGATACTGTTCTGCCCTTCTTTTGTCACTCTTTATTGTCTAAATGTTGTTAGGGCTGTTCGCATCTATCTTAATGCTACCTCTGTCTTTTGTATGACAGATTCCTTATTTGTGGTCACTGATGGCCCCAGGAAAGGGCAGGCTGCTTCTTCCTTCATCATTTGCAGATGGGTTTGCCAGACAGTTGTTCCGGCCTACACTAATAAGGTGTCACACTTTCCTGTGCACTGATTTGGTGCCGGGTTTTGTCCCCTGTCCAAGGTGCTGGGCTTCCTGCCAGTCTGATTTGAACCTAGTGCACCTGTTGCTCGGTGTTCAGGCATGCTAGTGCACTAGCGACTGGACCCCCTGTGCTTCCTGAAGCTTATTTGCTGTACTCTGAATATCTCCCAGTATTCTGAATCCTTTGCTGTGTGATTCTCTGTGCTCTTGATTCCTGCTGTGTTCCCAGTGTGACCCTATGGTTTTTGTCTGTGTTCCTCCATAGTATTTCCTGTGTGCTGTTTGTTTGTCCTTACTGCTCTTACCCCTGCTCTGGCTTACGTTCATACACCCTTGCTTTCATGTGTTTGCTTTTCCCTATTTACCTACACCAGTCTGCAGTACCCATTCCGCTCTTCAGCACAGTATGTCACCCACCTGTGTTCTTGTACATTTAGTTATTTGTTTCTCCATGTGTTTTCTGGACCTCTGTGTATGCGCTATCCTGCAATATCTATTCCTCCTGCGTCCTCTGTGAATTGACCCTCTGTGTTTTCCTGCTTTCAGTGCTGTAGATCCTTACCTGTGTTCTAGTGCATTCTATGGATTCCTATTTTTTTGTGTCTGTTCTGCAATCTGCACATCCTGGTTTCCTACTTTCCATCTACCTGTCACTGAGTCCCGTGTTCCAGTGCTGTTCTGTGTTCTTACTCCCTTGTGACTTTGTTAGCTATGTCTGCACTGGAGTGTTAGAAGGCTGCGCTGCATCCCCCCTGATTGTGGGGATGCAGCGCAGCATCCCCACAATCAGGGGCTCTGGAGATGACCAGGCCATCCCCAGATTCTGCACCTTTAGCACAACCACGTTATATGTGCAGTCATCCTGTCCCCACGCTCCCTGTGTCCAGTGACTCAAATGGCCCTTCAGTTCCTGGGACCATTGACCCAGATCGCCCTGTAAGTCCTGGAACTAGCATCCACTGTGCCCTCAGTTCCCAGACCGTGACAAAGGGTCAGGAACCTCCTTTCCCTGTTACTCCTCATTTCACCAGGGCACTGCGTGGAGGTTTTGCAGACTGCACTTTGAGAGTCCAGATGGGTACTTCCAGTTCTGTTTCTTGTTTATTCTGTTTAGGCCTTCCCTGTATTTGACATTGCTTTGGGACGTCCCAATGGTCAAGATGTTTTGATGGTAATATCCTTCAATGAGCGGAAGAGAAAATAAGATTTTTGTACTCCCCATAAAATCCTTTTTTCTGCGTTCATTGAAGGACAGCACCGCCCTGTTGTGAGTGCATGGTGTTTGTCTTGGTTCTGTGTAGTGCTTGCTACTAATTTAGTAGGTTGTTGCAGACAAGGGGTTTGGCCTCCAGTGAGGAGCTGCCCCTGGGTTGGCTTTGTGAGTTTTTAAAAATTTGTATTTCAAGTGTCCTACTTCTGTAGGCGGCGATATAACCTAATGGTCAAGATATTCTGATGGCTGTGTCCTTCAATGAATGCAGAGAAATAGATTTTACGTTGAGTACAAAAATCCTGTTTTTTAAATCATTAGCAAAAAACTGATAAAAGACAATTAAAAAACATATGACTTGAGAAATGAAATAAAACTGGCACAAAGCCATTATAGTTTTCATTTAACAATCCAATTAAAAGATTTGAAGGTTAATAGGTTTACCAGATTTATTATACTGTTTTTTATTTATTTGTTTACTGTTTGTCTCGTCATTTAAAAAGTATGGTTGATGCACTTAGCAGTGGGACAGTATTTATTTTTAATGACATTTGAAGGTCCAGTTTCATGACACCTTCCTATACCTTGGTGCTGCCAGAAAGGAAACCAAGCTAGAGAAAGCTTGCATTATTCATTGGCTGATTTATGCTTTCCGCAGATGTTCAGCAGCGAGTTCCGAACTGACAAAGTGGGGAATGCGATTGGATAAGCAAATATCCCTTACCGGTCGTCTGATGCCCCCAGAGAGAATTTGTATGAGAGACAATATAGTAAGTACCCTCTGTAATGGTGGCATACATCTTATATACATCTTATAATTGAATTTAGTAACAGAGATTGTGTTGTGCAGTTTTTTCATAAATAGAATGATATACCACTTTAAAGCTATATTTGAGGCAGATGTTGTATTTAAACCATTGGATTTCTTTACCATGTAGGTACAAATACTGTGTAAGACATATATTTTTTTTCCTCTGTTAGTGTCAACCTATGTCAGCTGCTGACTGGGGCCGTGATACTCGGGATTCAAGAATAATCGCCGCAAAACCCCTGAACAGCTGGCTGCTGCTTTTCAGCCGTCGCAATGAAGACGTAGTTGAGAAGCTGCTCTACAACTTGCAGAAGGCTGGCAGTGGAATGGGCTTTGATATCGAACACCCCAAAATGTGAGGATTTATTTTCTGTATACAAAATAGATTACAAACATGAAAAAGGTTCTTAACTTTAGTGCCATCTAAATGGTGCAGTGCTGTCCACCAAAGGAAGATGTCCATGGACAGGGAAAGAGGTGCTGTCTATAGCATCACAGAGAGCGGCCCGGCAGCACTAGTCTCAGCACAGTTCCAGTTTATTGGTCCTATTTTATAAGCGCCATTTCATTTGTCTAACCTCAGTTAAGCTTGGGAAAGGTCTGATAGCAAGAACTTTCCTTTTTACATTGGCAGTAATAGTGGAACTCTTGCCAGAACCCAAAATTCCAGTGTGTGTATATCACTGTATTCATATATATTTCCTTCCTTAATATTATCAACTTTTTTGAATATATAAAATAAACGGACAACATTGATGAGGAGCAGGAACCAAAATATGCCTTTATGTACCTTTTAATCCTCCACATAGCTTTGGTGTACTTGGCATTCCCCCGGTCACATACTGTATGCCCTGACTGCTTTAACTCTGGTATAAGCTGCTCCTCCAAAGTCAGCAGTGCCCCTTCATTCCATTCAATTGCATATTATTGTTGTTTGCTCTGTTTTCAACTTCAGTGGTTCTGTGATATCTTATTCCCCCTTATTAGTTTTTCTTTGTTGGCAAATCTCTGCGCAGACAGCCTGAGTATTTAGCAGTCCCTGTGTAGGAAAGGTATCGGTGCAGCACATTGTCCCATCCGCACAGATCCTTACTGACTCATAGGCTTAGCTATTAGACAAAGGCTGCAAGTTAAATCCTCAGTCACTTGGGAAGATCTTATGATGTTTCTTGCATCTGTTGCTGTGTTTCCTCTCTAGTCTTTTCATGTGAAGAAATAAACTGAAACATCGGGGATTAATGGTATTAGTTGTTTGCATATGTATCACTTGTTTGCATATTCTTCTTTTTAAAGGTAGCATGGTGCGTTTTGGGAAGGAGCTGATGCAGCAGCACAGAACCGTTTAACCTCTTTTATGCAAATAATAAAAAAAATTACATTTTAAAGTGGAACAGCAAACAAAACATTTTTTCTTTAGATTTGAATTAAGTTGTGGGGGGGATTAGAACTGTTGCATTAATAGGTTATATTGCTGTCTGTCCCCCTATTGTAGAGGGCCACACATGCTTTCTAAAGAATTACTGGAAATTCAAAATTTTAAAGCAGAATTCTGGACAAAAAGTTTATTAACCCTTGCAGTGGAGCTACCCCTGCACTGCAAGGGTTGACTGGTCAATTTGGTCTAGAGAGAAAAATAACAAAGTTATACTGACCCAATCCTCAGAGCTAGCTGGCAGCGACAGAACTCCCTCCAGCCTGTCTGCGGCAATGGTATGACCCTCAGCGTCCTCACACAGGGTATAGAACGTGATGGCTTGAGGATCCTTAGACCGCGGCAGCGGTTGGGGAGTGAAGCTGGAAGGACCGGCCTAAGAGCAAGTGGTTCTAGGGAGGAAAATATCCTCAGTCCTCGGGTATATCCTCGGGTGAGTATAACTTTTGTATTTTCCTCCCTAGACACAAACGAGCGGCTAACCCTTGCAGTGGCGGAGTAGCCCCACTGCAAAACTGTAATTGAAACACAAAGTGAGGGGAAATCACATTATTTTTCTTAATTGAGAAATTCCTTATTCGTGATGGGTCTATGAGAAGTGAAGGGGATTTTCTCTAGTGTGGACACAAACAGCAGTAAATACTTGGAAGAGGTTCTGACTTGTTATCAATTAACAAATTGGAAAGTAAATGAACAAAAGAGAAATCCAAATCGAATCAATATTTGGTGTGACCATCCTTTGCCTTTTTATGGGTACACTTGTACACAGTTTTTGAAGGAACTCGGCAGGTAGGTTGTTCCAAACATCTTGGAGAACTAACTGTTATGCTGAAGATAGTTCTTAATGACATTGGCTGTATGTTTGGCATCTTTGTCCACCTGCAGAACAAATTTGGGGCCAATCATGGCATGGTATGGCATGATGGATAAGTATCTGCTTGTATTTCTCAGCATTGAGGACACCATTGATCCTGACCAAATCTCCAATTCCATTTGCAGAAATGCAGCCCCAGACTTGAAAGGAACCTCCACCATGCTTCATTGTTGCCTGCAGGCACTCGTTATTGTACCGCTCTCCATCCCTTCATAGAACAAACTGCCTCCTGCTACATCCAAATATTTAACATTTTGACTCATCAGTCCAGAGCACCTGCTGCCCCAGTTCCTATGTTTTCGTGCAAAGTTGAGTCGCTTAGCCTTGTTTCCACTTTGGAGGTATGGCTTTTTTGGTCAAATTCTTCCATGAAGACCACTTCTGGCCAGACTTCTCCGGACAGTAGATGGGTTTTCCTGGGTCCCACTGGTTGTTTCTGCCAGTTCTGTGCTGATGGCACTGATGGATATCTTCCGATGTTGAAGGGAAGTAAGCATGATGTGTCTTTCATCTGCTGCATTAAGTTTCCTTGGTGGACCACTGCGTCTACAGTCCTCAACATTGCCCGTTTCTTTGTGCTTCTTCAAAAGAGCTTGAACAGCAAATCTTGAAACCCCAGTCTGCTTTGAAAACTTTGCCTAGGAGAGACCCTGCTGGTGCAGTATAAATACCTTGGGGGGAATTTCTCAAAGCAATTATGACAGTTTTAGCCTCTTGGATCGTTTTTTTAATGTGCAAATCTGTCTTTTAACACGTGCCCCTGTTTTCACCTGAGCTTGCATTACTTTTCCAACTGCACATGTTTTTGGCACGTGTTTTGACAAGAGCTTGCTCTACTTTTTTCATCTGCATGTTTTTTGCACCTGTTTTCATCTGCACTTGTCTTGCGGCTGTATGAAACTGGAACATCACCTAAGAAAACAATCACAATTTAAGAAGTCCCCATGACCACTTCTTCAAGAAGAGACAGTTAAGCTTTTTGCCTGAAGTTAGAAGTCTTATTTCCTGGAGTCTATTAAATCTCATTTATGAACAACATTACACAAGCATCATAAATCTGGTGCAAATGTATTCTGTGCAAGTTCAAACACTCGCAATTGCTATGATAAATTCCCCCCCTATATGTCTAAGGAAAAATGACATTTATTATCAAGGCTCAGACTGCATTGATAAATAAGGCGCAAATAACGTGGAAAATTTGTCACTTTAAAGTAATAGGATAGAAAAGTGGAGCAACTCCCTTGATAAATCCCCCCCCCCTTTGTGTCTTGTTGACATGCTCAGTCTTGCCATAGTGTATGACCTGTTACATGAAATTGTCTTCCACATCCTCACCTTAGTAGCAGAGTTTGGCTGTTTCTCACCCAGTTTTAGGCCCCATTCACACTGAGCGACATGAAAATTGCGTGATTTTCCGCGTGATTTCATATGAGCGATATTGAGCGACTTGTCGCGTGACACCGCGCAACTTTTTCCTATTGGGCTGTATGCAATCAGGAGAAAAATAGCGATATTGAGCGACAGGATGTGAACAGCTCCATTGAAATGGATTGGAGAAGCTACATAGAGCGATATCGCGTGGAAATATGAGCGATATCGCTGCACAAATCGCTCAATATGAATGGGGCCTTAAGCCTCTTACATAGCTGTTTCAGTTAATGACTGTTTGAACCTACATATGAAATTAATGATCATTAGCACCTGATTGGTATAATTGGTTAATCATACACCTGACTCTAATCATACAAAATCCCTGACTTGTGCAAGTGTAAAGCTGGCCATACACCTTACAATTTATCTGCAGATTTTCTGTGGTCAGAGTATCAGTGCAACAGATTCCTCCATCTACACTTAACTGTGTGGACGGAGTAATCTCCACCTGGGCCAATCTGTTGCACTTTTTCCATCTGACCACAGAAAATCTGCAGATAATTGTAAGGTGTATGGGCACCTTTAGAACTGATGGTGGTTTGAAGCCAAAAGGGTAGTACATTTTTCTTTTGTTCACTCACTTTTGCAATTTGTAAATTAATAAAAATAAACAATACAAATATATATATTTTTGAAAGCATTCTCACAGCATTGTTTCACACCTGCCAAACATTTGTGAAAGAATGGGTCATTCTCTTTAGTCACCTTTGGGAGACTGCTAGCCAGGCCTTCTCGTCCAACATCAGTACCTCAAGCAAAACAAATGACAAACGCACTCAACAATTTGTCACCAACTATACAGTAAGGTGCACACGAAATGGGCTTTAAACAGTAGAAAGGTATCATGGCACACTCACAAGTCAGCATGTAAAAAAAACTTGTCTCACCAGTAAGATTTCAAATTGGGAGGTCGGGCTTCCTCCTGACAAACCTGCACCCAATTTGAAATCTTCTGCCCCCATGTGCTCCAAGATGGAGACTCTCATAGTTTAGAGTTAGGACCGCACTATAAGAGGTGCCTTGGCGCGGCTGTGCGGCTTTCACATTTTCTGCAGAAGACGTGTATCCAAACCTCTGTTATTAACCTTAGTGGTGAGACAAGTTTTTTTTACATGCTGACTTGTGAGTGTGCCATGATTCCTTTCTACTGTCAACATCAGTACCTGACCTCACAAATGCGCTTCTGGAAGAATGGTCAAACATTCCCATAGACACACTCCTAAACCTTGTGGCTACCTTCCCAGAAGAGTTGAAGCTGTTATAGCTGCAAAGGGTGGGCCAACTCAATATTGAACCCTACGGACTAGGACTGGGATGCCACTAAAGTTCATATTTGTCTAAAGGAAGGCAGGCATCCCAATACTTTTGGCAATATAGTATTATATATATATTAGGGCTAAGGAAATTAACGATTAATCCTTCGATTAATCGTTAATTTTTTTGATCGATCAAAGTCATACTCATCTCTCCGCCGGCTTCCGGGTCTTCCGTCGATGTCCGCGACGTCACCGGACTCCTCCCCCCTTCCACAAGTGGCTCTGTCGGCTAACTAAGGGAACGGGGTGGAGTCCGGTGACATCGATGTCCGTGACGTCACTGGACTCCTCCCCCTTTCCTTCGTTACCCGATGGAGTACACAGCCTCTCTCCCGGCCGCCCCCGAAGGAGAGTGGTTTAATATGCTCTCTTTTTTTACCGGAAAGGTTTAATCTGCTCAATCGAGCAGATTAAACCTTTCCCTGCAATCGTTTTTTTCTTTTCTGACATCGGGAGCCGCGGCCTGACCGTCAGTCAGAAAAGAAAAAGGCATACGATTGCATAGCTAGATTCCTATTGGCTATTGCACTTTGCAATAGCCAACAGCAAACTAGCTAATGCACCCGCCCACTGCTGCTGTCAATCAGCAGAGGGGGACCTGATTTTTTTTCTATCAGGTCCTCTTCTGGTGATTGAAAGCAGTAGGGGGCAGGTGCAATAGCTAGTTTGCTATAGGCTATTGCAAAGTGAAATAGCCAATAGGAATCTAGCTATGCATTCTTATGCCTTTTTTTATTTTTATTCTGACAACTGCAACTGGCAGAATACTAAAAAAAAAAAATCTGCAGATAGCAAAGAAGCTATTGCTTCCTGTGCGATCTGCCATAATTTCAGGGGGCTGCTCTCTCCCAGCCCCCCCTAACCCTCCATCCGCAGATGGAGGGGAGAGGGCACCTCCATGAAACAGAGGGACACCTCCCTGAAATTGCTTATTTCAGGTTGGGATCCCTGGCATTGACCTATACACATACAGCACAGCAATTAATTAAGTAATAAAATGAACTAGGATCACACTAATCCAGCACGTTATTATTCTGAGTTGCCCCACTAAAGCGGCGGCCATATTGAGTGGGGCACGTGAGATTAATAACGTGCTGGATTAGTGTGATACTAGTTCATTTTATTACTTCATTGCTGTGCTTTATGTGTATAGGCCAATGTAGTTGGATCTGTATGTGCGCTATAATTAATCGAAATTAATCGATTTTTAAAAATTTCGATTAATCGAACAGGAAAATTTTAATCATTACCAGCCCTAATATATATATATATATATACACACTCACACGCACACATATTTTGACCTCCTGGTTCTCAGGCATTGTCCATTACTTTTATTTACTTCCACAGATTGTGCTGCATTTAGCTTTTCCCCTTTCTGTGTTAGGAATTTTTTTGTTATCACAATTTTCAATGAGTTTAGCTCACAGGCCTGCACACATATTTTATGTTATATTTTACGTTTAATTTCAAATGAAATCATATCGGAGAAATGTGCCAACTTTTATTGCTGATCTCCTTCTGAAAATACTAGTTGATTAGAATAAATGCAGTTCTGGAGTTTTGACTGTCAAGCAAGCAGGTTTTCAAAAGGATGCCAGCAATGGCAGTCCATGTATTCATCCTCATAACAAGTGTGTTGAGAGGCAGTAGCAACCAAATTATTTTTTCATTCTTCCATTGGAGACTAAAGAATGAAAGTGAAAATATGATTGCTTGGTAAGGAGCATACAGAGAGCTCTTTCACATGAGATATATTATAATTCACCAACTTTAGGCTACTTTGAACAGGCTCTTCATGGAATGATCAAGGCTGCTACTGGGGGCAAGAGCACCCGTCTTTCCTAATGGAAGAAGCCTAAAAAGCAGGGTGCAAAGTCCTCTGTCTCGCTGCCTTTCAAGAAGCAGCCTTTCCATCTCTCCAATTCCCTTACTTCAGCATCAAAGCCCCGCAAAGTGGCTTCTCATCCACTAGGAAAGGCTAGCACTCCAAGTCTGTCAAATCCTTTGACGAGCATTTTTCCACATGAAGGTGTATTTCCAGAGTCGGAGGACATTTGTTGACCTTTGCAGATGTTTGGATGCGGCAAGTGATGTTCCAGGGCTGCAAACTCCAGTTTTGTTGCTGTTGTTTCACGTTCCTTCCTCATTTTGCACAGATTATCGGATCTCCATCAGGCCTTCATGGATCTTCTTAATCAAGGTATAAATGCCTCAGTTCAAGGCCCTGAAAGTTTTATTTGGGTTCAAAAGTTTTTGGATTAAAACTACCAGATCTGCCATTTCGTTCCTCCACCAGGGAGACCGTGGCATGGCACTGCCCTTCAGCTTCTCTGCACCTTGGGTTTTCACCAAGTTGCTTGCCCGAGTGTTAGTTCTGTTGTGTTCTATTTGCATCCCTGTTGTGGTGTACAACCTCCTACAGAGGTTCAGGTGGATCCTGAACCTTCAAAATCATCTCTTGAACTGACTCATTTCTGGTGACTTCTATTATGGACTGTATCTGACACGGCGCCATCAGTTTTGTCACTTCAAGCACCAACCTTTCAACAAGGTCTGTACGCTGTATGGAGTGCAGGTGATTTCGTATTATCAATTGCTTCTCAGCACATCTCAGATCAGTATGTTCCCTCCCTGTGAGAAGCTTCAGGTTCTCTAGTTTCAGGTTCAACACTTCAATCCAAAAGCCGGCCAGCTCTCCTCTTCTGCATGAGGACCTTACGGCTGATGGTCGCCTCCTTCGAGGCAGTTACCTTTGCCCAATTTCATACCAGATATCTGCAACACAACCTTCAACATCAGACCAACCTGTTGGAGAACCATCTGATTCGGATTCAGTTGGATAGTGCCATGGCTGTGGTGCACATCAACCATCAGAGAGGAACCAAAAGTCTTGCTGCAGCAAGAGATTTAGTGTTGCTCCTGTCCTGGGCAGAACTGCACGTTCCAGCCACGTACATTCCAGGTGTAGACAGTTGGCAGGCAAAATTTCCTCAGCTGACCGTGTCTGGGCCCAGGAGAGTGGTCCCTACATCTAGAGTGCTACAGGACCTGTGTAACAAATGGGGGACACCAGACATGACCCTTCTTGCCTCCAGGTTCAACAACAAACTAGACAGATTTGTATTCAGGTTCAAGATTCTCCTAGAGAAAGAGTGGATGCTTTAGAGCAGAGGCTTTCACTCCAGGAGCTTTTCCATGGAATGAATCCTTTTCTCCCTGATGGGTCTGGATCAGGATTTGGCTGTCAGCACCATTAAATGCCAAGTCAGCGCTCTTTCCATTCTGTTTCAGAAACCGTTGACTCTTACTCTTTGTTTACGACCCTTGTAAAAGCTCCCTTCCCTCTCTGTTGCCCAGTTGCTCCATGGGATCTGGCTCTCCCGGTGCATCAGAAACCACTATTTGAACCCATTAGAGGCATTCATCTCTCTGCCCTGAACCGCTAGGTGGGTGAGAGCACTCTACGAGGAGCTTATCTGAACTGGCAGCGTTATCTTGCATAGAACCCTTTTTGTTCTTGCATAGAGACAAAGTAGTGTTGAGGCCCCGGGACTTTCTTGCTTGAGGTAGCGTTGAAATAAATCGACTTTTGTCGCGCTGCTTTCTGCTGATTCATTAGAAATTAGCCAAAATGCAAAGAGATTCTGGCCAGCTTATGATTGGGAATTACCCAACAAGCTCAGTTGTCACTGGTGGAAGGCTCCCTCTGGTGGACTTCAGTGGCAACAAACTTGAAAGTGTATGGGAACCCAATCAATAAACTTCTCTTTTATCTCCCATTTGGTCTGTTACATATAAAGTTAAAGGTGTTTTGATATATTTGTTCGATAAATGCAAAAAATGTCTGTTGACCATGTCGGAAATCTTGTGATCTAATAAACTCCTGTGCTCACTGTCTCTTCTGCACTGTAACTAGTTTCCATTGTTCCCAGCTCTGCCTGTGGACTACAGAAAACCTCCGCTTATGGTATGGGGAGAGGTGTTTTATAGTCAACACAACATGTTTATATTTAACACAACATGTTTCTCTATAAATACAGTAAAGTGAGTACGCATTGTCACCCTAGGACAGGAAGTGTCTTAGTGGCAGGATCCCCAGGTGAAAATAAAGGAAAAATATTAGAAAATGCAGCTACTACATCTAAGGACTGTGAATTTTTTATATATTACATTTTGTCCTTGGCTTTTTATACATGTTAATCAGTGTTGTATATGTTCTTATTTCAAACCAACAATACTTCTAAGTACCAAAGAGAGCCGTAGTACACGGGCGGCTACACATTGAGTGGATGACACATGGAAAGCATGAGGGGAAGCTGTCACCATCTGATCTGAAATGTGGACAGATAGGAACACAATATAATGAATGATAGCGATCGCCGCATTGGATTTGGCATAAATCGAGAAATAACACTTTGCTCCATATATCACTGTGGTCCCACCGCATCTGATCTGGGAGGTGAGGGACTTTGTTCCGCATGTCTCGGAAATGGATTCACATTGGTCTTCAAGTGTTTCAGTTCTTTCCTCATATTCCCTGAGGCAGCGCATCAGTGAAACGTGTTGGAGGTTAACATAGAATTGCCACAGTGTAATAAAGAACACAAAAAATACAAATGAATACTGCATACAAAAATGGACGACATCCTACCTAAATTAAGTATGTATTGCGAAAGCTACAATTCATTTATATTATGAATGATGTGGCAACATGAGGCAGAACTGAGGGAATTGTTTTTGTAACAATGTTTTTAAATGTAGTTGATGGATTTTAATTTAATATGTGCAATAAATTGTATATTTTTTGTCTGACGCCTCTCAAAAACCCCATTGGTACTTAGATGTATTGTTGGTTTGAATTGTGAATAAGGGGTAAGGTCTCGGGCCGCCTGGAATCATTAGTCCTGTGGAGTTATGATATGAGAATCAATATGTTCTTATGACTTTGTTTTGCCTTTTAGAATACCAGTGGAAGGCAGTTCAATTTCTTTTATACGTGCTCTGCAACAAAACGTGAACCGGGATCTTCAAATGGTACGTTTTATATTCGGAGACATTCATAAGCTAATAGTCAACTCCTTCCAAAACTGATATTTGTTTTTTGGGCCGTTGGGCTTTTCTTTGGCTTCTCATATCTCTTAGGCCCTGTTCACACCTTTACGTTTTGACGCGCGTTCAAGGCTCTATGAACGCTCTACAAAACGTACAAACATGAAAATCCCATTGTTTTCTATGGGTATGGTTGATCTAATAAACTCCTGTGCTCACTGTCTCTTCTGCACTGTAACTAGTTTCCATTGTTCCCAGCTCTGCCTGTGGACTACAGAAAACCTCCGCTTATGGTATGGGGAGAGGTGTTTTATAGTCAACACAACATGTTTATATTTAACACAACATGTTTCTCTATAAATACAGTAAAGTGAGTACGCATTGTCACCCTAGGACAGGAAGTGTCTTAGTGGCAGGATCCCCAGGTGAAAATAAAGGAAAAATATTAGAAAATGCAGCTACTACATCTAAGGACTGTGAATTTTTTATATATTACATTTTGTCCTTGGCTTTTTATACATGTTAATCAGTGTTGTATATGTTCTTATTTCAAACCAACAATACTTCTAAGTACCAAAGAGAGCCGTAGTAAACGGGCGGCTACACATTGAGTGGATGACACATGGAAAGCATGAGGGGAAGCTGTCACCATCTGATCTGAAATGTGGACAGATAGGAACACAATATAATGAATGATAGCGATCGCCGCATTGGATTTGGCATAAATCGAGAAATAACACTTTGCTCCATATATCACTGTGGTCCCACCGCATCTGATCTGGGAGGTGAGGGACTTTGTTCCGCATGTCTCGGAAATGGATTCACATTGGTCTTCAAGTGTTTCAGTTCTTTCCTCATATTCCCTGAGGCAGCGCATCAGTGAAACGTGTTGGAGGTTAACATAGAATTGCCACAGTGTAATAAAGAACACAAAAAATACAAATGAATACTGCATACAAAAATGGACGACATCCTACCTAAATTAAGTATGTATTGCGAAAGCTACAATTCATTTATATTATGAATGATGTGGCAACATGAGGCAGAACTGAGGGAATTGTTTTTGTAACAATGTTTTTAAATGTAGTTGATGGATTTTAATTTAATATGTGCAATAAATTGTATATTTTTTGTCTGACGCCTCTCAAAAACCCCATTGGTACTTAGATGTATTGTTGGTTTGAATTGTGAATAAGGGGTAAGGTCTCGGGCCGCCTGGAATCATTAGTCCTGTGGAGTTATGATATGAGAATCAATATGTTCTTATGACTTTGTTTTGCCTTTTAGAATACCAGTGGAAGGCAGTTCAATTTCTTTTATACGTGCTCTGCAACAAAACGTGAACCGGGATCTTCAAATGGTACGTTTTATATTCGGAGACATTCATAAGCTAATAGTCAACTCCTTCCAAAACTGATATTTGTTTTTTGGGCCGTTGGGCTTTTCTTTGGCTTCTCATATCTCTTAGGCCCTGTTCACACCTTTACGTTTTGACGCGCGTTCAAGGCTCTATGAACGCTCTACAAAACGTACAAACATGAAAATCCCATTGTTTTCTATGGGTATGGTTCACACCTTTCCGTATTTCCACCCGTCTGAAACGCCCTACAAAACGGCCTACGCTCAAACAAGTACATGTACTTCTTTGGGCCGTTTTTGTTGGGCGTTTCCATTGGGATACAGCCAAGTAGCCCTCAGAAACGCGGGTTTGTCGCGCGTTTTTTTAACCGCGAATCGCTGTAAAAAAATACGCCTAGGTGTGAACCCAGCCTTAGACTTAGAGACTACTCTGGTGGCATAGTGACCCAAAATCAAGATGGCATTGGTCAGTAGAAAGAGGCTTTTTAACAGGAGAGCCCGGCAGGCTACATTTGTTAAAGTGATGTACAAACTGTAAAAAATAAATACATTAATCTTAGAAAATATAAGCTGTTAAAGTGCATGTCCAGCAAAACCTGTCAGATTTTATTGATGTGTCCCGATTGCACATGTTCCCTAACATCCTATGTGGTAAACCATTGTCACTGTGATGGTAACTGAGAGGACAACTCTCTAAGGGAGCCTCAGGTATCAGTAATAACATGACAGCGATTCTTATCTTTTCCAAATCTATCCAAAACAAAAAAAAATGTTTTGGCTGGACATTCATTTTAAAGGATAAGTGCTCTTTAAAACGAAGTACACGTATTCATTGTCCCCCTTCCCCTTTGCAGAGCTTGGAGGTAGAATTCCCCTATTTACATCCAGCTCTGCAATGCTCGCTCTGCTGACCGCACACCCAGCAGGGAGGCAGACATGGCCAGGAGAGGAAGACCTAAAGCGCTGAAAGTCAACAAACAGAGGAGCAGTGTCCCTCGGATGCTCCAAAAAGGGTCCTGCTGTAGCGACCCGCGACATCAGGACCCTTTGCCCTATTGCAAAGCATTGAAGAGCGATATCGCGCGGTAAATAGCCACGATATCGCGGAAATTACAGCGCGATAAATCGCTCAATGTGAACGGGGCCTAAAAGTGCAACAATACTCAGGTAGACTGGGACATTAAAATGATGCTCAATAGGAACTAAAGGGTCCAAACTGTGCCAAGAATTTATCCCCACACCACCAGCCTGAACCATTGATATAAGGCAGGATGGATGCTTTCATGTTCTTTTTGCCAAATTCTGTTGCAGCAGAAATCGAGACTCAGCAGACCAGGACCACTGGTCCAGAAAGTGTTACAGCTGAACTCCCAAGATAAAAAAAGACATACATTAATTCAACTTTGTAATCAATAATACTTCACTAAAGCCTATCTCCACATGCAACCCCCCTTACCCCTTTGGAGGGAAGGGAGGGTAGCCCTGCTGCAAGGGGAATTTGTTTTTGCCTTTTATTTATTTTATAAATGCAAGCAGTGTAAATACCTGAATTTGATGTGGTGTCAGCCTCTTGCAGACCCCGTAAAGAAGAGCTAGCGTGTGGGAGGCAGAATAAGCAGAAGGAACAAGTTAGTTCACGTGCTGACAAGAAGGATGCTGATAGGAGGAAAAAGCAAAGTGACAGAGAGATGAACTCATCACTGTGCTGCTTCACTTTTTACAGTTTAGTCACAGGCTGGGATGGATCCAGGACTACCTGGGCTCAAAGGAAGTGGGTTGAATGATGCGGCTCATCAGACTGAGGGAATCTTGTGGAGGAAAAAAGTACTAAGGAGAGAGCTCCAGAATGAAAGTGAATATTACACCATTAGCTGTTTTTTTTTGTTTGTTTTATCGAGCTATTTTTTTTTAGCTTTTTTATTTGTTACTTGAGTTTTGCTTTAATATTTTGCAAAACAAAAAAGTACGGACTATATCCTTTAAATCAGTGGTTCTCAACCTGTATAACCTCAGGACCCATATTTTTCTTTGGTCAATAAGTCGCGACCCAAGTCACACTGCAATGGAACGCACAGCATTAGGGTGCCACGCGTTCTAGTGCAGGCGTACAGACTGTGGGTGGGAGTGTGCGTTTGTGGTACCATTCAAATGAATAGCAACGCAACACACCTCCCGCATCACAATGCATGGTAGATGCGATTGTGCACCGTTAATCGCACGGTACTATATGATTAATGCACTGTACTAGTGTAAATGGGTCCTCAAAAACACTGACATACATGCACAACCACATACACATTCTCCCACACACTCCAAAAAATGTAAGTAATGCATGGATGGATGGATGAATGGAGCTCTATCACGACCATAGCCCCATCCCACCTCAAGCTGACGCTCGACCCTGGGCAGCCTATTTTGAATAGCTGCTTGGTGAGAGAATGGACAGTGCTGCGCTAGGGGGAGGCTGAAGAGCATCTCACCTAGAAAAGTGGAAGGCATGAGGCGACCCACTGAAAATGGGGTCGCGACCCACCAGTTGAGAACCAAGGCTTTAAATATACAAACAATGTAAAGTGAAAATGAGAACCTGTGTGTCCAGAAAGACAACTTCTTTTTAATCATCTTGTTAATAAACTATTTGTAGTAATAATATTTCCAAATGTAGAAATGAATAGAAAATTGTCACTAAAATTTTTTGTGGCTGTAAAAACATAGAATGGAAATTATAAATTGCCTGGGAAATACGATTATCTTCAAACTGTAGAATACATTTCAAGGTGGGTTTCCAGAATAGTAGCTGACAGATTTGGGACATGTCACATTTGCACGCTGTAAACATTGCGGCTGTGCCATTTTTTCAGGCATCTGTCAGGCATGCCTTTGAATGAGTGCTTTATGGTCAGCGTACTCGAGTTTGTAGAATGCCAGCCAACAGTACTGGAACCCCTGTCAGTGTTTTATTGCTCACAATCACCACCCTGTCCCTCACTGTGGCTCATAATCAGTATGGAAGGGTCTGTGACGAGAGGACGGCAGAACCGGACGAGTAGCTTCCCGGCCGGCTGTCGTAATTACATGGCCGATCGGGTGTCTCCAGAGACGCCCGATCGCTTGTATTAGCAGCTGCTGTCACTGCCGGTCCCGAGATCCGCTGTGCCCGGTGCGGACGGGACCGGCACAGCTCTGTGACAGGAGATCAAAGGGAGCAAGGTACACGGACTCCCTTTGATCTCCTTTCCGTCCCCGAATGCAGGAAGTGATGTATATTACATCACTTCCGCATTCTGCGGTCACTCTCCAGCTGGGGAGAAACTGGTGAAGCAGGTCTCTGCTTCATCAGCTTCTCTTGGGGTTCCTAGGTGACATTAGGGGTCTTGGAGACCCCTGATGTCTCCATAAAAAGGACCTGTCATGTAAATTGGCTATCCCATAGGGGTCTTCTTATCCCCCTATCTGATGGCAATAAAATTGTGTACAAAAAAACAAGTAATTAAAAATGAAAGAAAAATGTTAGGTTTTTTTTTATGCTTCTTTAAGTCCCCCACATACACACGCAGATATGCGTCGGGTGCACCTACGTGCGAAAACGACTATTGTGCCACACATGTTACATATCACCGCGAATG